ATATATATGGAGTACTTGGCACTGGAAATGACGCATTACAAATTGTGTACCACTTCCTATGTCCACTACGTGGTGCTAGAGAACACACGCTATTTATCAGCCTTGTTGCTGTATATATATAGACCACAACATGTAAATTTCACAGATGATCTTGTCACAAAAGACTAACTTCCTATTATCAGTAGGTGGTGCTATGACTGTGCATCAGTATAAGTAAGTAGATCTCTGCGGGCCCGGACGCTGATCCATTGACATTTGGGCTAGACTGGACTATTCTGTGTCCTATCAAAATGTCCCAGTGCCACCATGGCAAGGGTATTTCATGAAAACTCACAATCTTCTATATAAAGCTACATCAAGGTCTTGAGGCTTTTCTGACCACATTAAAGGTGGATCTGTTGAATCCGCTAGGAGAAGTATATCAAAGTATGAAAATGTCATTCCCTGTTGCCAGTAGGGGGTGCTAAGACTATGCTTAATTATTGGCATGTAAATGTCTTTAGGCCAGGACTCTTATCAAACGTGAAGTTTGGGGCAGATTGGAGCTACTGAGCCATTTTCTTACACCCAAGCATGACCCACAAAATATCTGATACATGTGCCAAGTTTGGTGAGTTTTCGAGCACATTTAGCCCCTCAAAATTTTGATTAAGTGCACAAATTAATAAAATTCCTTCAGTTTCAATAGGGTCCTCACACCGCTTTCAGTGCTCAGGCCCTAACTAGCATTTTACCAAAGAACCTATAGCAGGTTGCTGGGTAATTAACAACTCAACATGGTGACATACAGGACAAGAGCTTAGTGTGTAACTTTTGGCAGTTAGGCTTAGCCCCAGAATATATACTACATCCCAAAATGTATATCTGTAAATTAAAGGGTTCCTATACTGATTGAATATGGCAGGTAGTCCTATCAGGTAGTTTCAGTCATCTTATTCTGATGATATTTAAGCTAAACAAGCTAAAAAAAAAATTTAGGGTTCCAAATCAAAGCGTGAATATTACAGCTGTACCTCTTTATCCTCCTCGTCTTCATCCTGCACGGCACCAAGTCCATCTCTAGATTCCACAGGCAGGGTAGGTCGGTCTCTTTCTACCCCAGCAGCTCTCTCCAGTGGGGAGGACTGGTCTGGACATCCCATGGGGAGAGGATCTGGCTCCCGCTGGACCAGCCAGGCCTCCAGTTCTGCACGAGGAACCTATGGAGAAAGGTAAGAAGGTCTGTTACATAAAAGCTGTAAATAGCAAAATTGAAACAGCTAAAATGTTACTACTCCTAGTACTATATCATTCTAATTCCATCTCAGTGGGAGCATATGGATAATGAGGGAGATCTACATGGTTCCCACCTGCAGTCTGTCCAGAGAACGGACCCAGCCAAGCAGCCTTCGTGCCGTGAAGAACCCATCCAGGTCTACACTCTTGGGGTGGAGGCCATGGCCGTCTTCCAGACGGTTGCGGAGGCTGTGGAACTGCGTCTGGGTCAGTGCTGATGTAGGACCCAGGATCATCTCGTGCCAGGAGGGGGGCAGGTAGGGCTCCAGTCCCACGTCAACCCTGACTCCACACAGGCTGAGCAGGATGGCCATCTGAATAAGGCCTTCCGTGAAGTATTTTTTTAGGTACAGCATCTTTGGTATGTCAGAAGATGTGCAAAGGGTCCAAAGCTCAGCTCAGTCACCACCACAATGAGTGGCTCTTCTGTCGTTGTGTCTTTGGTGTTAAGTATTAAGTCCTTAAGTCCCTAAAAGATCTGTCAGGAAACTGATGAACCCCCTGTGAAGGAAGAGGGACTCGGAAAAATATCCCTCTCCCACTGGGTCCAATAACAAAAAAAAAAAAAAAATCTAAAAAATGTTCTTGGTACTCTAAAAATAACCTGGTTGGGAAAGTCTTTTCTCTTTTTTCTTCAATTATAATGTAATGTTGCTCTGGTAGGGAAGACTTGCTAAAATGTACCAGACACTACACAGTTCCACCCAACTGTTCTGATCAAGCTGCTCAGAAGAAGGACGTCTTCTTTAATCAGGACTCATTGGGATCAAAATATCTAGAAAGAAAGACTGTCAGTGAAACTCTCCCAGGTTCATCCAAAACTTCTTGCTCTTTATGGAAACTTCACAAATATTTCTTCCTGTGAATTAAGAGAGCAGCTGACTTCAAAACAGAGGACAAAACAGATCAAATATTACACAAGTTGTAGCAAAAATCATTTGTGATGTTAAAGGATTACTTCACCCACCAAATGATCATTTGTATGTCAATTACTGTTTTTCTCACATGCCTCCTCAGGACGAATCCTAAAATGGAGAAAATTCTTCATGAATTGAAGTCAGGGGTTTGGGATTTATAAATGGCAAAAATACATCAAAACATCCATTTACAAACTCTAACTCAACTCGTGCGGCATAATCCAAGTGTCATTTATCCAGTTGTTCCTCAGTACTTTCCAAACAGACAGTGCTTTCAAACAGGGAACTGAACAGAAAGTAAAACTTATCTATGATCCCTTCAAAGCCAGACTCCACTGACAAAAAACATAATTTTACAGCTTACCTTGCTGAACTAACTGCTGGTCTACCACTGCCTAGATCAGTTAGTTAATTTGTGTTATTGTGTAACTTTGGTGTTTTAAAGCAAACTTCAGATTCAGCACACTATCTAAATGAGGCAGAGGTGGACCATCAGCTCCCATGTTCTGCAAGATAAATTATTGTTTCTGTCAATGGAGTATGGCTTTGAAAAGAACATATATAAGTTTCACTTTTAGTTCAGTTCCCCGTTGGAAAGGGCGGCGTGTTAGGGAAGTACTGGGCATAAAACTGGATAAATGAGACTTGGATTATACTGCATGAGTTGAGACAGAGTTTGTAAACCGATGTTTTGATATAGTTTTGCTGTTGTTAAACGTGGACCCCTATTACTTCAATTCATCAAAAATTTTCTTGGTTTCTTGAATTCTCTGTTCACAGTGAAGGCATGCGAGAAAAACAAAGTTTTCTTCGTGAATTCAGTGTAACCCAGGGTGAGAAATTAATATACAAATTCTCTTTTGGGTAGTGAAGTATTCCTTTAATATATTTAATGGTTTGATCCAAGTATATAGAGTTGCAATTGACTATTATTGTGCTAATTGTTAGTAGCATTTTCCTACTACAACTACCTAAACTTCTGCTATTGCTTCATCTGCTACTGCAACTTCTACTATTAGCACTACTGCAATCACGTCTACTTGTGGTCTACAGTTATTGCTAACAACAGCTAACAACAGCCACCACTGCACTCGGGTTAATAATAATAACACCACTGTTATCAAAACTAATCTTCCATTGTGAGTGCAGCCTGACCTGCAGAGAGGCAGCCGTTAAGAGGTTTGACTGTTTGTTTGAGGAGATAAGGCACACAGTCACACAGACTGGGCAGAGACGCCCTCTATCACTCTCTCTCTCCCAGTAACTTCGACCTACTTCTAGAAAGGGTTTGGTAACCACCTGCCTGCCCCGCACTGAACTGCCTGGGTTACTCACTGCAGCCACATGATGTAATTGCCAGGGTTTGCCTGGAAAAACCCTCTCTGTCTCCCCCCTCCTTCAATGCTTTGTATGGTAACCTGTTTACAGAAGCTGCAGTGGAACAGCTGACTGTAACTTTCAGCACCACCTTATAAAAAAACAAAAACAACTAACTATAAGGAATACTTATATACGTATAGTTCAGTGTATCCACTAATACAGGATGTAGTCAAGTATAATCTTGTATTGTGTGGTCTAAAGGAAAACAGGGTCTGCTGTAACACTACAGTATGTGAGTGCTACAGGCAACTGTTTAATTCTTAAAGACTTCATCTGAATCTGTTTTCTCTGTTGTTGTTGTTTGTCTGCTTACATTCTACGTATTGTATTGTATTCCTATTTGTGTTTTTGATATATTTTAATGGACAAAGACAATTCCCCATCTTAATGGATAATACCTTTTTGTTGTATCCTATTAGTGTAAAACTCTTGTGTACTCTGCGGTCGAACACTTATGACATATAAACTAGGAGGCTACTATTTTACAGCAGGCTATAATATAGACTAATGTGTTGTTCAATAGGCTGCTATTGCATGTGGTTAGTGACAGATGAAATATTTGTTTTTCAAATGTACTTCCAAGTATTTAAATAAAAGTACTCATAATGCACAGTGCCCCTGTGTGTGTGTCTACTTTTGCAGATTATTATTATTACCATTGCAATGATGTGTATGAATGTGGATGAGGGTAATGTTAACTATTTTACATACTGCAAGTAGTGTAATCTAAAACAATGCATCATATTTTATATGTTCATCGTGTGTTTTAGCTGTCAGATAAGTGCAGTAGATTAAAGGTACTAGAGTAGTGAACTGTAGTGGAGTAGAAGTAGCATACAATTCTAATACTCAGATGTGTACAATACTTGTATTGTACTTAGTTATATTCCACCACTTGCGTCTAGTCCTGTCATATATGATCATGCCTTGCTTTAATATTAGACTGATGTAGCCTAAATATTAATATATGTCTGCAGTCCAGGTGAGTGTCATGTATAATGACATGGTGATCATGCTCTGATGTTGTCCTCACTCTGTGCGTGTGAACATGACGGAACTGAAGCTGTAGATGAGCCGGAGCAACAGGTTACGCAATGTTTTCATCACTCACTGATACAGACCTGATAGCTCCAACACATTTCTGATAGCACATTTCCAAAAATTTGAGAACATACTGCGGTGTACTCCTGACAGTAAACATATCACTGTAGACTCGCGGAAAAAGACATACAGGACCATTACAGGAATATTACAGTGATTCCACTTGCGATTACACACTATGAGATCACTACTGAGAAACTCAACACAACAGCACCGAGAGGACCGGAAATGATGACGGATAAGTTAAAAACAAAGCCGTGCAAATAGCTTATTCAGTTCATAATGTTTAAGAACACTATAAGGACATCACATCAGTGTGACTTACCAGTTTCAGAGTGTCCGGTAGAAATCACACTGTCCCGGCTTCTGTCTGTTCTGAGAACACAAGGAGGGTGGGACCTATTTAAGGCGATGGTGACGTAACGAGCTCCTCCCTGAGGAAAAAAAACACCGTCTGTGTTACAGTGTGTGTGTGTGTGTGTGTGTGTGTGTGTGTGTGTGTGTGTGTGTGTGTGTGTGTGTGTGTGCGCGCGCGCGCGTGTGTGCGTGTGCGTGTGCGAAACAAACTAACATATAGAGAAAGAGATATAAACACGTGGGATAATAATATTATCGAGATATCAGATTTTTACTTTTAAGAATAAATAATACTAGCCTATCTAGCTTTGGTTGTGTTGTGTGTTTTGTCTTTTTTTGTCAAAGGGACGTGGAGAGAGAGTGTGTAACCATAACTGTGTAAAATCATACAAAAAGTATATATATAGTATATAGCCTATATGTAGGCTATACACACAGATGTGTGATGGGAGGAATTCTCAGACCCTGTTTACCTGAAGTGCCAATGTCATAAAAGTATTCATTTGGCAGCAAAATGTCTCCTGTGATTCATATTTCATTTTATATGCCTGGGACATTATTGAAATATTAATACTGATGCATGGCATGGTGGTGCAGTGGTTAGCAAGAGGGTTCCTAGTTCAAACCCTGGGTGGGGAGTTTGAATCCCAGGGTAGAGAGCCCTTCTGTGCGGACTTTGGAGAAATTGGGGAACCCGTTTGCTCCGGGTTCTCTAGCTTCCTCCCACAGGCCAAAGACATGCAGGTTAAATGGTGACTCTAAATTGTCCGTAGGTGTGAATGTGAGTGTGAATGGTTGTCTGTCTCTATGTGTCAGCCCTGTGATAGTCTGGTGACCTGTCCAGGGTGTACCCTGCCTCTCGCCCAATGTCAGCTGGGATAGGCTCCAGCCCCCCCCCCGCGACCCCAAACAGGACAAGCGGTTACAGAAAATGAAAGAATGAATGAATGAATAATATTGATGCATCATGTTCGAGCAGCAAGTTACTGCTGTAGCTGTTCAAAGTAAACCTTCCCTGAACTACTTTATATACAGTTAGCTAGTTTAATTCAGCGGTTCCCAACCTAAGGGTCGGGCCCCTCCAAAGGGTCACCAGATAAATCTGGGAGGTCAGGAGATGGTTAATAAGGCTGAGGAGAAGGTTCTAAGTTCTAATACACACATCTGTTTTCAGTTTGTGGACTTCTCCCCAGTCCTTGTTTTTTGTGAAAAACTGGATCTTTTGAATAAATATTTAAATTAAACTATGTGAGTGGAGCAGTGTGGAACTGACAACAGCTTATAGACATCTGAAACGTGACAAGTGGCCCAATTAAACAGATTGTATTTATAAGCTTTTTATTTTTTTATGCATAAAAATAAGCTGAAAAGTAACTGGTATGAGAACTAGCAGATAACTGTGTAGTCAGAAATACAAAAAAGTAATTGCCAGTTAAGTGCAGTGTAGTGAAAGTATGAGGCAGCATTAAATGGAAATATTAATGTTAGGTATAAGTACCCTAAAACACACATTCATCCACACATACTTAATACATACACAGACTGCAAACAAAATATACTAAAATATATATAGAATGTAATGATGGCATGTTTGTCCATATCTGAAGTCTTGCTTTGTTCTTGTATTGAATATTTCTCTGTGACATTATCCTTCAGGACTTTCTTGAACAATCCTCAAATCTTTTTTTATATCAATGTTTTTTTCCTAAACTTCAAAGACCCTTCAGCTTGTCTGTCTAAGACATTGTTTCTGTGTTTTTCTCCTAAATTGGATACAACTGTAACATTCAATATGCAGATAAAAATGTGCCAAGTTTTTCTTCTCACTCCTTAGGAAATATACCAAGTCAACATGACTTGTGACACAAAAGAAGACCATAGTCAACAATAAAAGAAACACAAACAGTTCCAAATATCTTTGAAATCTTTGGGTCTGTGTCAGCCTTGTGACTGACTGATGGGCGACCTGTCCAGATGTATGCACCCAGTGTCAGCTGGGATCCTCTCCAGCCCCCTGTGACCCTCTGAAGGATATGTGGATGTAGCTAATGGATGGATCAACACATTATGACAGCAATCACAAAGAATAAGTTGTCCATCATTTTCCAGAGTACAAAGAGCTTCTCCCCATTTATATAAGTCTTTCAATGCCTGATAGGAAACGTTCTACACTTTTAGTCCCTGCTCAGAGTCCAGACGACCTGTATTACATACTTTTATGTTCCTGTGTCCATCTGAGCTGAGTGGGCTTAGTTACTGCTAAAGCAGCTACATGACCTGCCCAGCATTTACATGACTCCACAATCAGCCCTCTTCGCCCCTTAGTCTGAAGTGGAAAATGCTAAATTAGCACTTACCTAGCTAGTGAAAAGTGTTAGATTAAAAGAGGGGCAGTCAAAGGTAAAGGTAAGGGTTATATCTCGTTTCCTATACGTCTTAGCATTTAATAAATTAAGTAAAAGATTTAAGCGTTTTATCACTACGTTTGGTCTCATATTTATTCATGACAACTTTGCGTTGTAGTAGGGTTCAAATAACTGCCACACTGGGGGGTTTGTCCTGCACTGGTGGTAGTAGGGTGTGTCATGCAGGCTTCAAATGGAATTTGGCTGCAGCTATACATGTCCCATCTGAACCTCTCCAAATATATAGTCAAGGGTATGAACATGTTTCCTTCAGGCAGAGTACCTCAACAGAGTAACTGACTCAACTGAGCAATGTTTCAAAACATATGGAAGTCCATTAATTCCAGGAAAAAAAATACTGAATGTCAGGAGTGACACGTGCTTATGATATCAAAACTACGAGTTACAGTTAGAATGATAACATAGTCAGAATTTTGACTCCCTAAGTCAATTAATAAGACAGCAAGTCCAAAAAATTGACCTGTTACAATGTGATTTTGTGACTTATGAAATTATGAGACTCACTATCTCATAATTTTGACATATTGTATAATTTAATTTGACTTAATATGCAAATTTTTTGACTAAATTTCCCTTCATTTTGACATAATAACTAATTATCCTCTAACTTGTTATGAAATGACAGGAGAGACAGAGAGCAGGAAGATATTATGGTACACACTGTTACAGGAAAATGATTTCTGTGCATGTTAGTTTATTGATGTGTATGTGTGTGTGAGGCTGAAAGAGAGCACCACCTGCTGTTAAGACGGTAACCCTTGCAATGTCCTCAAACCATCTCCCAGAGAGCGATCGAACATTCTGATATGTTATATCTGATCCAGCAGGTGGCTACTGTACTCAAACATGACCAGTCGGATCATTTCCATTCCCAGAGTTCCGGCATGTCGCAGTCTTCATTTAGCAGGAGGAAGTGGCTCAGGTGTCATTGTGTGACCTAAGTGACCTCAATCTGAACTCTAACCACTTATATCATAGAGGATCAGTGAGAACACCCTCCTACACAGCAGAATGTGTTGCTGGTGAGGAGGGGGATAGAGACCATAAACAAGTCATAGTGGTGAGCAAAAGTTTACTTAACTGTCGGACATGTGAGACCTGAACCTGCTCTTTTGATGAAGATCATGTGATGTGGTTGAATGCTCAGAAAAGCTAAAGTAAGTGGACCTTTGAGCCTGAATTATTTTATACTGTGATAATAGTATACGAACATCTTCATTAATATCAGACCAGCAGCTTTAGTAAAACAAGCTGAGGTGATCCAAGAACTGAATCTGAGGTCTGGGCTTCGACATTACAATAGATGGAACCTTTTGTACTCATTTTAACAAATGTGAAAACACACTTTATATATTATGTACAGTCACTACTTTTAAAAGTATTTAAAAGTAGAATTTATTGTTTTGCTGTGTGTCTGCCCATCCACTATTGATGTTTATATTAAAACCAATATAACAAATTCATTAAATTACATGAAATCCACTAACCCAAGTTTCATTTATTACAATTATACTGGGGTAACAGTACTGGCTATCTTTGAAAAACACTGAGTGGTGTCCTGATGGTGTTTTCTATACAGATGTCTACTATAGCCTACAACTTTTTATTTTTTACTCATCTCCTAAATTCAGGTAGCTGGACACTGCATCCCTGCTCTGTTTGTAGCCTAAAAAACAAGCAAAGTATGTGATTTTGTTTGAAAGTACAAACTGAGTGCAAAATATCTTAACGTAAAATTGTGACGGCCCCTCTACTTGATGTGCTTTGCCATTGGTCTGCTTCCCATCTCCAGGCTGCAGACCTGTTTGGAGGGTAAGCAGCATGGGACATACCTAGGCCCCGTCAGTGTGCCCCATCATGCAAAAAAGCCAAAGCAGCAGCCAATCCGATGGCCTCACACTCTGTTGTGGCTTGTTGTTCCTTTTCTTTGTTTTTACAGCACAATACCAATGCAGCACATGTTCGCTCATCCATCCACACCATATTGCACTATGATTCCAAATACCACAATATTCTGAATTTGGGGCTGTGTAAACAGCATATCCATTTGGATATTCAAGATATGCCTTTATCCAAATGCAACATTTTCTGAGTAAGACATGTGGGCTATACTGGTCTTAGCCGGATTTTAGGAGCATTCTTTGGAAACAGCACATTCTGAATATGGATTTAAAAATAGGTTTTTCCTCCAGAGTCAGAAGCTGAAATGGTGGTCACTGCTACTCTGCTAATAAGCTAGTTAGCTGTAGCAGGTGTTTAGTCGGGGGTATTTCACCATCATGATTGGATTTAGCCAGTGGCATGAGGTAGGATGCTATTATGATGGGACTTAGCGCACACTATTGTGCACATATTGTCTCTTCACATCAAACAGAAATGCAACATTGGACAACAACAACATATATATTACCCAGCAATCATCATTGCATCTTTAAATGACAAAAATGACCAAATAAGAAATTATTCATTCAATCCTTTTACAGTTTAGGTAGAATAAGCAAATAATTTTGTTATATATGCTACTTAGTATTTTACAAAAAACAAAACATGAAACAGATGGGTTTGCCCTTTTCAAGGGCATATATAGCAAATGGCACCTTTTTGAATTTAATTAGCATTACTCTTTGAACACAGGCATATTTCTAAGGTGACAATCACTCATAAGGATAAGGGCCCACTCTCCAATCAACACATTGTTGGAGGGCCCACTCTCTCTGCACTAATGCTTGCACTGTCTATATTTACAACCCTGGATTTAGCTACTGCTTTATTTAGCTATGTGGAATGGCAAACTGGATTTTCATGATTAAAATTAAAAATTTAATTTACAGATAACAGGAATAAATGTCTGTAATTTTAGTTTTATCTCCAGCTATGGCTGGCTATGACTATCTTGGCTTTCAATTGTTATAGCTCTCTTGCTTTAGCTGTGTATTTGACTGAAGGAATCTGGCAGAGCTGCAAATTGTACGCACCATTTCTATGGAAATTGTAGCGATGGATGGATGGATGGATGGATAGTCCATACACACTGCAGTACAGCATTGTTGTTTTATTTAAAAAAAATGTTTTCAATAAATGTAATTATCTGCTTTTGGCAAAAGAGTGAAAGACATGGTGTTGGTGAGTCATAATTCAAACACTAAGCTGAATGAAAGGCAACAATGAACATTCAGAATCATCAACATGAATTTACAGAGGTTAACATAGTAATTCAGTGAATCATTTTTGAATTACAAAGTTACAAAAGCATTTCTTTGTGCTAAGATTTAATTGTTTCTCCTGACTTGTGTTTTTTATGCAGGGCCAAGACAAACCATCAACAGCGGCTAGAGAGACATGTAACAAAAAGGTCACGTTTAAGCCCTGTAACAGCCATGTTCCCTGCTTTGCTCCGGATAACTTCTTCAGCTAAACATCTAAAACATAAATGGTACAAGGCAAATATCAAAACTATAATGGCACATACGCGATAAGAAAACCAAACCACTTTTTTAAGTTATTTGTTTCTGCAGAGTACTAATACTCACAGAGTTTTTCACTGTCTACAATATGATTTAACAACAAAAAATGCACACAGAAAAACAAAAGCTGGCACTCTCTGCATCTTCATAAATGCTTTGGACAGAAACGTGTTATAATGGAGGAAGCCTTCTTGCAGCCATTGGTCAGGAAGAATGAAAATAATACAAAGGGAAAACAGGATGCAGAGGGTTACCACATACAGGTGTTTAGAACACTGTCCCATGTCTTTATGGGTAAGGTAAAGTAATACAATGCATGGTTTCCACAACAGGCAGCTAGTGTACAATTTCAAATACCTTCACTCAACTTTTCATGTACAAAACGATTTGCTATAAAACTGCTGAAAAACCCCTTTCTACATAATAGTGTTTTCTAAATCAGTGGTTCCCAACTGGTAGGTCACAGTGCAAAAGTGGGTCGCGGGTCCATTCTGAATGGATCACAAGTGACTCACAAATGTGTAAAGTTTGCAAAAAAACGCACTTATTTTTGAAGTACAGTGAATTTGCAGCACAAGCTTTTATTTAGAAGAGCTGTTTCCTTTTGTAGAGTGAGTAAATGACAGACAGCTACCTCACAGAGACAGCAATCTAGCTCAACAACATGGCCAAACACAAGTATGACGCTGAATGTATTAAACTTTGTGGACCTTGAACTAATGACCCCCGGGCTGGACCAGTTGGGAGCCACTGTTCTAAATGTTCCTTAGCTCATAAGAACACAACTGTCCTACATCATGTCAACAAAGCAGGGAACCAACCATGGACCATATGGTAGACAATCTTTTTCATGTAAACACTGGTGTCTGAAGTGGGTTAATGGAAAGAAGATAAAGGTTTAAATCCTACCTTGATACTGGTTTAGTTTGTGGTGACTGCAGACTTTTCAGACACTCTTTATTTCAGATAAATAATAATTAATAAATAACAAAACTAAGAATCTTCAGACATGCTTGCACTGCTGTAAGGCTGTATTCAGGCACAGCGGTGCTTTGAGCTGAATGGTATTATCAGTTTGCTAACATGCTCACAATGACAGTGCTAACTGCTGACCATAAGCAGCTAATGTTCAGCATTTCTGCCATCTCTGTTTAGCTTCTTAGCATAAATGACCTGATGATTGTGCTGGAAATATTTTGCCAATCCATCTGGTGGATGCAGAAGTATTTAACTGGCTAATTGAAAGATGATTGCTCATTTCAGGAGGCTTCTTTCTCCAGGCACCATAAATGTTTACCAAAGTCTGTTCAATATCTGTGGAGATATTTCAGTTTGGACCAAAGTGGTGGGCTGACCGACCAACACTGCCAGAGCCACATCGCTAGCATGGCTAAAAACAGACAAAATTACAAACTTCAGTAACCACAAGTGTTGGTATGGCGACCAACAAACTGTATCGGTTAGTGGTAATTCATGGTAACAAGGATTGAAGTTGTAAAAGAATTAAGGGTAAAGTTATTCATTTGCTCCCTTAGAGCTTCTCCCAGTTGCCAGCACTGGAAGACCATTAGTGCACGGCTGTGATGGGCGACTCTGTGGGTGAAGCTTTTTATTCTGGATAACTACAGGCTTAGAAATGTGGGAACTGAAAGGATACATTTAAAGCTTCATATAGCTGCTCCTGTTGGTCCTGTATCAACTCTGTAATACTCAAAGAGTCTTAGATGGAAGCAGATGATTCGATTTGTTCTTCATTTAAGATCTTCCATTTCCTTCTTACTTTACTTCATTTAAGCATTTAAGTTACTCTTTAATGCAACACAAAATAATGTACACACTAAATAAAAAAGGAATTCATTTGAAGTCAGTTAATGCAGGTCAGGTTATTTGTATGTGTGTACATGTCCAGCTGCTCTGCTAATTACGTCTTATCTAGTCATTGGATCACTGCAGTTTACAGATAGATCTTTCTTCAAATCAAATGAAAAGTCTTCCAGTGGGGTGAGTTACTTATTTCAAATGATGCTGCATGATTTTAGTGGAAAAATCCCATAAAAAAGATTCTTTCTGAATGAAAACATTGGAGGGAAGTAGCTAGAACACATATAAGTGCAGTGGTCTGTAGCCATAATAGACCTGTTAGACACTTTGGTGGGTACTTTGTTTTTTTTCTCTGTATTTACAGTATAGACATATTTACTTGCATGTCACACTGTAGTTTCCAGCCCAGTCTCCATTAGAAAATGTTGGCATTGTTTCTGCAAGCCTTTTAAAGGATAACTTCGGTATTTTTCAACCTGGGCCCTATTTCCCCATGTGTATGTGTGCGTATGATTCATAGGTACAACTCGTTCTAAAATTGTCGTGAGTGCCGCTCAGAGTGGCGCTGGTTGTCCCGGAGTACAGCTGAGAGTTTTACTGCATCGATTGAAAACAATGGTTCGTGTTTGTGCTTATCCGAATTGCAAGAACAGGATGTCGCGCAACACCCCGTACAGCTTTCATAGGCTGCCTTTGTCGGATGGCGAGATGCTGAAGTTGTGGCTAGTTGTGCTACAAATGGATGCTAACACTCCTGTCCAGACACTG